CCGTGATCCTTAGTGATCCTTAATGATCACTATTGATTATTTGTGATCACGTGTCTTGGTAGTTGTGTAGCCCGTCGTAACATATAGCCTCAGTTCTGCCCTATCAGCTTCCCACTATTCCCTGTGTAAGGTCATTCCTTTTAACAGAAAATTGTGATTTTTGATGTAAAAGGATGGCCGAGATTAGGGGTAGCCGAGAAGTGGGGTACTAGACTTACTCCTCATTAAATTTAAAGCGTAGTATACTAATCTCGAGTCCAGTTCAAATGATATAACATAACTCATAACTTCCAATCATCAAAAGGCCACAATTCCCTAACCTTCACCTCAGTCGACTCACTCCCCTCTTCACGGGCACTTTCCAGAGCTGTGTTGAAGACTTCTTTGTGAGCACATCTCACCTCGTCCCAGCGATCAATAGGTACCCAGCCGTCAGAATCGGTACGTAGCAGTTTTATGAGCACCAGCTTGAGCTCCTGGACGTGTTGAAAAGCCTTGTATGCTTTTCGATGGATCTCGAGTTCTTCTTTGGTGGGAATGTAAGGACATTCACCAATTAGGCCCAAGTCATTCCAATTCTCTGCAAGATCAAGAAACTCTTGCCGCACTGCGGTCGCACTGTCCCTCCATGAAGTATTGGAGTACTGGAATGGCCGAACAAGTGACTGATCAACTGATCTTGCCACCCGTAGCTTCCGGATAAAAGCTTTCATACAGATTTCATAGGCTTGATTACAGTACGAAGCGACCTTGCGCATCTTAATATCTTGTTCAGATAAAGGTGGTTCATTGTCCGAAGTCGCTTCATCTAATGACTTCTCTTCAGTGCGAGGATCTGGGAGGACCGCAAAATCCGGCATGTCGTTTGCGTAGATGAACGCCGGTTCAATTGAGCTCGACTGCCAGTCAATGAGACATATTATTAGAGTTGGATCTTCATTCAAAACATAAATATTCCTAGCGTGTAAATCCGCATGAAGTAGAGTTGGTGTCAAGGCACTCTGGACTTGCGGCTGCGCTATCAGGCTTTGGAGTATTGCCTGAGCTGCATTTAACAATTTCCGGTGTTCTTTTACTGTACCAAAGTAGGAAGGCCGTGATGTATCAATGTCGGAGGATGGAAGTTTGGAGTATCCATTAGCAACTAGTCCTGACGAATAAGCCGCAAGATCTTGCCCTTCGTGGTTTGTTAGGAATATCTTGACATAAAGAATGCTAGAACTCTTCATATACAAGGGCCAGCAGAACTCGTAAGTCCTGTTTCCGTTTCGCTAGCACTATCATTCCAATATCTAGTCGAACAACAGGTTCCAATACAGAAACCTTTGCTTAAAGGTACCTTTAACGTCGATTCAAATGGTGCATTCTCAAAATAAATACTTCCATATGCTGGAAACTCAAGTGCTGCTAGTTGCTGCATCGTCATACAGACTGATTGAACGCATTTAGTATATTGACTTCCGGACATGGTGGACCATCTCTCTTGCAGCCGCACACCCTCTACATGCTTCATAATGATGTATTCACTACCAATAGGATTCCTCGAGTCATCTGACTAATCGAGAATATCAGGTACGGGAATCGTAGTATGAGCCTTGACTACAATCTCAGGTCAATTCCCTGTATTATCTCCAAAATAACATAATGCTTAACATACATTATAGTCGCTACCTCCGAGTTGGTAGTCAGAGCCGAAGGACCCGCGACTTGAGTTGGCAGGCGCGCCACTATTTTCTTTCCATCATTCAAGAGGAATATAAGAACTTTATTGAAACCGCCCTCCTTTTTCTCATAACTCATGATGTGAGAGGCATCTGGACACAATGATAAGATTTTCTTGCAAAGTTCCTGGAATTGGAAATCGATGCGTCGTAAGGCCCGCTGCGCTTTATCCCGGTGTAACCATCTTCCGCTTGTGTAGATAAATGGAAAGAGGGCTAGAGTTTGTTAGTGAGATGTTGTTAGAGCGGATTAAATGTGTTAAGGTGGTTTTACGATCTTGGGATGGGGACTTGATAGATGGTATGTTTATGGTGTTAACGTTGGAGCGGAGATTGGAGATGGATCTACGGAAGATGGTGGGAGAGAGGAATTTTGATAACATTGATACGTAGGTGTATCAATGGCTGAAAGGGTCGAACTGAAAAAGTAAGTGGTATAATTGATGTTGAAAGACGGTATGTCTGCTGCAAGAGCCAGGACCAGCCATGTTGTTGCTCGCATCATTATCCTGTGCGAGGAAGTCACATGATTACGTTCTAATTAGTTCATCCTACTGCATGCAAAACACACATGTGTCAAAATATTCCCATAACCATATTTGCCTTCACGAAAATCGATACACAGAGCTGCAAGTAAAATGATGAGGAAAAATATATTTTGTATTCTACAAATGATTACATGCTGAGGATAACAGGATATCCGTAATCGCTTCTCCCATCCCATTCATCTCTATGAAGAATCCCCTAAAACCCATTGCTCTCCAAACTCCCATCATATCCAACTCATAGCTCCTAATCACAAGCCGCTCATAGCCGAAAACCCTATATAAATTCGGATCTGAAGCTCAAATCCTATCTCCCCAAAATCCCAAATTAACCAAAGATTCTCAACTAGCAGGTGAAATGACATCCTAATGATAAAAAGTCATATATCACAATAGATCACCCTCGTTCCCACCCCAACGACATAGCATACCACCCGCATAATCGTCACCTCCTTCTTTACCCCCTTTTCCCTTCCGCTCCACCTCTTCTCAACAAGACATCTCTAATCTTAGCATCCACAACCACAGCGATCAAATCCACAACTGCAAAAGCAACCGGAATCTTCTTTGCCAAACTGATTCTCTCAGCTTTGGTTTTCTTAACCCACCATTTATGCAATCTGGCGGAAACTGTAGGGGAGGTATTGCGGAGATAAAGGGGTTCGATGATGCGAGGATTTTGACCCGCGTTTGGAAGGGGGCGACACGGATGAGCGCCGAGGGATCGAATTGGATTGTAGCGCATTTTTACGTTGGTGTGTATTAGGAGGATAAAATTTCTTGGTGTCGATTTAACTCGGTTCGTTGACTTATTTGGTTCGTCTAGATGAATATGAATCTATTATTTGATATCCGGCGATAGGAATTTGTAAATCCGGATTTGAGATGATGAGTTGTGCGATACTTTTTTGGAAAGAAAAAAGAAATTGGTCCAGAAATTTATATTTTTCGGATTAAATTGACTGAATCGTGGATGATCAACGAAGCAAAAGCTCCAACGATAGTTTCAGATAGTGTGGCACTACCACCTACCTAACTGCCACCAACCTTCAAACGCCGCACTAATGGCTGAGGGTAACCAGTTGGAGAGGGCTCAATATTCGTTATCTGCAAAGACTCCTGCATTACATGACGTTAAATCATTCGCCCCCTCCACTAGCACCATTAGCACCACGCTCGAATGATTCTCTTTGAATAGCAAGGTTTTGATTTCGCAAAATTGCTGCCGAATCATCCAGCCGGTTCCATCGTACCAGGCACCGATAAAATATCTTAAATGATGCCTAATGGCAAAATCATGCCGATGAAACGTGGTTACTACCACTTTGAATGTTCCTTCTCAAACTTGGAAATAAAAAAAGCATGAATATGGAGGGGAGAAAGAAATAGCATAACACAACACGGGTAAGCATACTCGGAAATCTAACTTCCCTTTTCGAGACCGCAGAATGATAACTCCGCTTATTAATAATATCTATACCATCCATAAATCATTCAAATGATATTTCCACATACCATGATCATCGTAACATATAACTCATCCTCCACTCCACATTCTATTTTTACTTTCCCTATCCTTTTTGCTTCACTCCTGGCCCATTTCATTAACCACCAAAATCCATTCTCAACGCAATAGTCGGTTCCCTTCCTCCATCATCCGCATCATCCGCTTTCCCTCTCCCACCCTCTTTTCCTTTAACCAAAACACCCTCCATGAATACCTTCTGCTCAGGTGTCATGCCACCGACCACAGCTCTAAAAGCTGTCGGATCAGCAGCCGCCATCTCAAGGAGTCTGGCATTGGTCTCTTTCCAAACTTTTTCTCCGTCCCCATTTGCGCGTTTCAATAATGTAGGTACGATGACTGACATAGCTACTGCTCTCTGTTTGCCTTCGAGTGAAACCACAAATGCTGTTAGAGCATGCAACGTGAGTGCTCGAGCATTTTCCGGGTCTTCGGTTGCGGTATTAGTGCTAAAGGTAATGAGGAGAGGTAAAAGATACCGCGCGATGCTTTGACCTGCGGGTGTCTTTGGCGTTATTAGAAGGAGATTACGAATGCAATTTGCCGCTACTTTTGCAGTCTGCGTGATGGTGTTAGCATATTTTATCCCAGAAGAAAGAAGTGTCTTACCATTCGATCACTTAGGCAATCTACGAGTTCATCTAGGAAACGAGTGACAAGTGGTTCGCTGGCAGATAAATGGTTTGTCCCACTGCTAAGCAATAGCGTTGAAGCGAGAAGGGAATTCTTAACACAAGGTAAAGAGACTTCCGTTTCTCGTTTCTGAGCATTCATGTAAATTGACAGGAATCGTTTGAGGCAGCCTTGTAATTGTATGATGCTGGTATTGTGTTTAGGCTTTTGTGTTTTGTGTGATGCTGAGATGCTCGTGATAAATCGTTTGAATATTGGGAGCGATTGAGGGACCACCACAGCTTGGCAACTTCCTGTTCCAAGAATGGTAGCAAATATGTGAATGATGCAAGCATGCAAATCTGTTTTAATTATTGATGGGAACACTTCAGCAGCATCCACCAATGCATTAAGGGATACTCTGACGAGAGTAATAGCTTCTTCTGTCAGTTGATGACGAGCAGGCTGTTGTGCTTCAATCAAATTTGGTAGAAGCCCAGCAAGTACTAAGACAATAATCCTAGTCAATTCAAACAGCTGTTCAATATCTTCCGACAAATCCTCGCCCTCGGCAACGTCTGCCTTCGTGGCGGAAGGATGGGATATGCACAAGCTTCTTGCAATCTGCACGATAACGGTTTGAACATCAAGCCCTTCAGTGAGGACAAGGCGATCAAGTAGGTCCATAGTCTCCGAGAAGATTGCCTCTCGGTAGATCGCGTGACCAGATACACTAGGATGCAGAATCTTCTTCAAGGCCTGCAAAATCTCGAGTGTTTGTCCCTTGGATGCTAGGGCCTCACTTCCGGGTTTAGCAACGAGGGCTTCGAACGCAATTCCGAATAAAACAAAGAAGAACGCGACTGGTTCATCTCGATAGTTGATATCATTACCCTTAGAGTTTCCGTTTGTTGAAGGGGCATCCGCTTCCTTCCCATCAAGCGCATTGAAAACGAATTCACTGTCCTGCTCGATAAGACTGGCGATGGCATCAACAAGCTTGAGCCATGAATCTTGATAGAATCTTAAAAGAGTTTCTCGGTTCAATGCAGAATAAATACTATCCAAACTCCCGGACAAGGATGGAGGACCTAAGCTCATCGAGATGTCAGGCTCAAACCTTAAACGTGCAAATTCTCTTAGCGAGGCGAGCCACAAGGGAGTTAGGGTGCCAATGTATGGCTTGAGGACATCCACAAGATACTTTTGTTCTGTGCTGGCTACTTGCAGCTCAGCCCAAGCAGAAAACACTGCCATCTTTACCATGACCTGAGCATTGGAACTAAGGCCCTTAAGATCCCCAATAGACGCAACTTCGGACTCCGTCGAGAAATTCTCTAATGCAGTAACCAGAGTTTTGAGGATACGACCCATTCGATCGACATCCGTAACAATACCAGTTGCAATAAAGGCGGCACAAACGTTGACAGCCTCAGATGCTAATTCGGGCGAAGAGTCAGCTGCGAAAGCTGGTGTGAGAGCAGAACTAATCTGAGCCTGGTATTGCTCTAAAAGCGGAGCTTCTGCAAAATCGGGATCTGGCGTATGACCGAACCATCTTCAAGACTGCATCAATTATCTTCAGACCCCATACGCGAAGTT